TTTGTACTTGAGATATTTTTAAATTTTGTACTAGTTTGAAATTTTCAATTAACGAATACACAAATCAAACTGTATTTATAATTTTTAATTTTAAAGTTCTTAATGGTAATTTTTACTTGGAGCATAATATAAAAAATGTAAAATTAAATATACAATCTGAGGTGAGAGAAAATGGGACAAAAACCCATTTTGCGTTCCGTTTTGCCGTTCGGGTGGAGCGATTTTCTGCGTTTGAGTTTGGAGCACGACTGGAGAAGGTCTGATGTGGTGAAATTTGAAGGCTATGTGTGCAGTATGCCACATGGCAAGTGGCAAAAGGCGACGAAATTATGATTCTCGGCCATTTTCTAATTTTGGTCCGCTAAGTTCACGATCATCTAATCCTAATAAATATTTCATGAAAAATCTCGGATGATGAATGTGTGTTGGAGCATATAAAATGATAACTTGACAAAAATGGAATAGTAAAAGAAAAATTAATAAGATTTCAAGATATGGTTCATTTGAAAACACAACTCCCCTGCCCACGGTGGGCATGCTCACTAATTTGTTTTATATGAAAAACGTAATCTGAGAATACGTTTTTCAATTAAATTTAATTAAAAAAACGTATTCTCAGAATACGTTTTTCATATAAAACAAACTAGTGGGCACTGCCCATCGTGGGCAGGTGAGCGGGACTGTTTAAGACACTTCCCACATAATTATATTGTTGTAGAAAAATGAAACGGCCGAGTAAGTTAAAAACAAATGAATTGATGAGATATTTGGAGAGGACGTGTGATAAGACTAGCGACTTTAATAGTTGTCTAGTGCGGTGTGTCAAGTTTCCCATGACAACAGTATCGCACTTATCCAAAATCGTGACAGTTTTAACTAAAGTCGGAGTATTGTGAACAACGACACTTACGTTGAGTGCTCTTTTGATTTGACGCCCGTAACACGACTTGCCTCTTCCACTTTTACCTTACAAATCTCACCTATTTAATTAGTGGCCGCGTGTAGGAACACAGAATGTCGACCAACCAATAACAACAGTGAATGAGCACGAATAAATTTGAAAAAAAAAAAAAAATCAAATAAATAAATAAAGTCGATGCACATAAATTTTTTATCCGCAAGAAAAAAATTATCACCAACAACAAAATAATAAAATTATATCAATTTGGCTCGATAAGGCTCGAAAAGAGAATTTTTTTTATGTAATTATCTATAGTTCGGCTCGTTAGAGTTCGAGATCGTTAGCTCGGGTCAGCTCGTTAAGGGTTCGAACTCGAGTTCAAGAATCATAATCTCAAACTCCACCCGGCTCGATTACAGGCCTATGTGAGTCAGGGGCGGAGCTAAGTGCTGTCTTACTTGGGCTGCAGCCCGAGTTGAATTCTACCCAACACTTTATTTACATTCATTTTTTTTTTTAATGTTGAAGCATATATCCCAAATAAGTAAGAATTCTACCCAGCACTTTATTTACATTCATTTTTTTTTTAATGTTGAAGCATATATCCCAAATAAGTAAGAATATAAAATTCATACGCAATATAATATGTAGCACCAGTATACAATACAATAAGGATGCTTATTGATTAAAAATGTAACAATAAATTAAATACAAGTTCTTATTTAAATTATCAAATACCTTTAATTTTTTTTTATTTACAATGAAATCCACTAAATGTAAGATTTGTTTATTCTGTAATATTTCCTACTTATTTTCATGTAATGGCATGACAACACATGTATATTATTAGGATGTTATTTGAACGTTTATACTAAAAATGTAAAAATACAATAGAAGTTTTTATTTAAATTTTCAAATACACTTTATTTTTTTATTTAAAATAAAATTATTACATGTAAGATTTGTTCATTTTATATTAGAATAAATTTCAAACTTATTTCATGTAATAGTCATGATGAATAAATTTAATTGATAATAAATAAATTAATCTAAAAAAAGGATAAAGTTGATTGTTTATTATAATTACTATTATCACAAAAAATTTAATTTATATGTGATTCTGTCAATATTCTAGCCCGAGTAGAATTTAAATCCTAGCTCCGCCCCTGATGTGAGTGTACGTGGAAACTCCTTTTCCGAACACTTGAATGTGAAGGATGAATTACTCAATGTACGAATGCTAAATCGAATATATTATAGTCTAAATAGAAGAGAATAATTTGATTGAAAGGAATAATTTTCATTACCCAGATGAAAAGGAGTCTTAAAACAAATTTTTACCGGGTACATAATAATATCACCACTCGGGGGGGCGACTCTCTGTAGCTGCACCCACCGTATGTAATAACAGCGCCGACTTGGAGTCAAAAGATAAAACCCACGCGCAGATTTTGATTGGGTGTGGGAGGGCCCACTGTAAACGTGGCAAAGTGTAGCAGCAACCTGCGTTGTGCGGGTGGCGTCTCCGAGTTTCCAACTCAAAAGCTGCAGCCGACATTGCACGCGTCCATCGAGGCTCTCTTACGCCATCATATTCAAATACTCTACTATGGTTACTCGACCCTACTACAGTAACCTAACCTTCTAGTGAGTGTCATACTTATATTATTTTTTGTGGGTCCCACTCAATGTGAGTGTTATATACACTTATATACAATATTATGTTTATAGATAGCATTACTAAAAAAAATGGATAGGAGTATGAGTTAAGAACACGTTGAACCTAATTAAATTGTTGGTATGAGTTATGATTAGTAAGGAAACAAAATTAATCGGAATTTAGGATGCAAGCAAAGTTGCTTGACTTTGAGGGAACAATAAACCTACAATTTCTGACCAAATTAGATAGTTCAATTTGGCAGGTAAGGGAACTCATTAATATATTTATCAAATTAAATAACAAAGAACTCAATTAAAAAAGAAAAAAATAAGAAGAAGAAAAAGTCAACTGTTGGCTTCACAGCGAAATTGACTTTTGTAGATATAAACTGAATTATGGCTTTGATATTGCTCTTTTTTTTTTTGAAACATGCTTATTCATGCAAGAATTTGTAATAAAATCAAATGTTAATCTGAATTTTATTTATGCTTTTTAATATTTTATAACGTTTAGTTCAACTTACAAATATATGCACTACATGTGTTGTGTGTATATATAACGTTTTAGTAAAAATGTTTCAAATGTTTCATTGAAGCAAATAAAAATACATCGTTATCATCATAAGAATTGATAGTTGAACGGTACCAAAAAAAAAATTCAAAATACTCGTTAAGAACATTTTAAACATGATCATCTCCCATTCGATCTCTACTCGTTGCTACTCTCTCTCTCTCCCTACTCTCTCTCCCTCTCCCACACAAACGTTGTTGCTCTCCCTTCTCGACAGTGCCGCCACCGCTAACATCGTGTCCGCCCTCGCCACCGCTGCCTCCAACAACTTCTTGTCCCTCGTCGACAGCCACTTCCCGAGATTCCTTCTTGCCTTCATCCCGCCAGCGATGGCGGTCGCCTGTCGCCTCCGTGTCAGAGAGGTTCCTAACGATGACCATGAAGTTACGTTGGAGATGAGCTTGAAGACGTGCTTCTGGCAAATTTATAATTTAACAAAAGTTTGGTAATTGAACAAGAATATTGTTAAATGAAATAACAATATAATGTCTGCATATGAACACTCACCGTCTACAGTCGTACTTTTATGAATTATAGATTATAGATTTGCCATCGCCTACTCATTTGTAACTTCACTCTGTTGCAAATAAAAAGCCACAATTTTCTAACTTATTCACAAAAAAAAAAAAAAAAGGAAAATGGTAAGTCCTAAGAAAATTTGATATGTTGCAAATAGACATGGCCAAATCCGGTTCAGGGACCGATTCCGGGTCAAAACCGCCATGTCCGGGCCAAAGGTTGGCCAGCCTGAACTGGCCCGAACATATGCACGGGCCAGACCGGTTCATTAAAAAAATAAATTAAAAATTCAAAAAGACCGGCGGCACGAGACCTAGAACCGGCCCAATTCAAGGCCCGTTGACTACGGGCGGTTTGGGTGGACCCATGGCCATGTCTACGTACAAATTGTCACGAACTAGATAGCAGCAACCTACTACTAAAGTTTCTATAGAATATTGGTAAAATCATATATGGTCAGAATTACAATTTTACTGATTTAATTAGTTTATATAATTAATTTAGATCCATCATCAGCTAACAATAGTTTTTTGTGATAATAAAGTATAATGTGATGTTTTTCAGACAAGGTCATAGGAGTATTTTATAGGTATCAATCAGTAACTGTGTGTGTTTCATTGTGGGGGAGAGATGAATAAAAAAACAGTCAGCACGCTATTGCTCCTCGAACCAAACGACGACAGTATTTGTGGGTTGGTTGCGTGCATATTTATCCTAATATCCTTTTCCTGCATCACTCATAAACTTATTTTTATCGGGAAATGCTACGGTTCTGTTACGGTACTATCTGTCGGGTGTTTTAACCAATGATCTAACGGTTAAAACACTTAACGGAATAGTACCGTAACAGGACCGTAGCATTTCTCATTTTTTATTTACACCCCCACTTTCTCTCTCTCCTCTTCTTTTCATGCTTTAAAGAGTCTGTATTCAACTGAGAACTCATTAATATATAGTACAATGTGCCCCAAATATTTGGCCATTAAAGCCAAGATTGCCATTAAATATACCTGGCCTCCTCGTTTCTCTCTCTATCTCTTCTCTTCATTTGTTCTTCGAGTCTTTTGTGTAGTAGTATTTGTTGAGTCTCCATAGCTTCACTCTTGAGGCCACAACACAATTAAAAAGCTTTGCTCTTGTGAGGAAAACATGTGGGCTTTCATTAGTTTAAGCTTTGGTTAAGTGTTAATAATTTCAAGGTATGATGATTTCTCAACTATTTTATTTTGTTTCAAAAATATTATTATGTAATTTTCTACAAAATCTTGATAATTTTTTTTTTTTTGCTTTGTTTTGCAGCAAATCACTATTTAATTTTGTGCTTATATTTGTGAAAAAAAAAAAAAAAAAATGGAGGGGTGTCATCAGTTTCTTGAATTGATTCCACAAGAAAGAGAAGGCGGGCTTGTTGATAAGTGTTTAGAGTTTCAAAGCCATGGCCTTTCAGAAGATCAGAAGCTTGAGCTGAGCCTCGGTCCACCGGGCGGCGGCTGGACCCAAACGGACGATAACAGCTCCCGGAGAAACCAACACTTCGTAGACTTCGGGTGTTTCCCTAACGGGCCTACATGTGCTCATCAAAACCCTGTCTTGAGATCTCCATGGCAAACCCAAGCCATAAAAGCTCACCTTGCTGTGACGAATGAGCCGTCACGGCCCAGTGGCAATAGAGTGGCTGTGGATCTGAAAAACCCGGAAAAGAAGGCCTTTTCATCTTCACCTGCAAATACAGCTGTGCCTAATAATGCTAGCGGTGCTCAGAAAAGGTGCCTCACCTTTTTTCTTCTTTTTTATTTATCTTTTTTATTATTTTTTTTTTTTTGAGACAGAGGATAATATTTTGCCGCTGTTTTACTAACATTTTGTTACACATGTTGTTGTGGTCCTTGCATTTTCTTGTTCTTCACTCTTTATGGTCTGCTGTACGAACAGATTTTGGCTCTAAGATTTTTATATTGTTTGGGTTTGTTCAGATGGAAATGCTACGGTCCTGTTACGGCACCATCCCGTCGTCGGGTGTTTTAACTGTTAGATCATATTTATTTTTTTTAAGTACACGTGGGTCCAACGATTAAAACACCCGAGGGGATGGTACCGTAACGGGACCGGAGCATTTCCCTTGTTTCATATCCTTTTCATTTATGAAAGGATAAGCCTGTCTCTATTTCTTTTTTGTTTTTTTTCTTTCCTTTGGTACTGTGTCTCCCTCTATTATTTGTTGCTTTTGATTTTTAATCCTTTCGATTTATGTTTCTTGTTAATAAATGTGGGTGACAAATCGTGCTACCGTATCGTTTTCGCCTTTCATTATCGTGTTTTCGTGCTAATTTATGATAGTAAAACTAAATTTAACCACTATGTTTTTTGTTTCTTATTATTGTTATTTTGTGCCCTTCGTGTGTTTGTTTCGTCTCGTGTCATTTGTCTCTATAATCGCGTTTATTATCGTGTCATGTTCGCGTTTTTTTTTGTTTGCCACCCCTAGTAATATAGTTGCCCTCCCTCAGTTACTTTTAAGAATACATATGGTTCTTAAAGTTAATCTGCTTTGTGTTCACATAAACATGTTAAAGGAAGTCTTTGTAGTTAGGTTAAACTTGTGGGCAATTTTTGTAGTTTTTAAAAGTGGAGAAATATGTCTAAAGCCCCCTCCTTTCTGCAAGTTTTGAAATGCTGCCCACCTTATTTTGCTTGCATTATATTACACTACTAATTTTCTGGCTTTGTTGTACTCAATTATTGCTAGGACTGCTCCTACTCCAGTTGTGGGATGGCCCCCCATTCGTTCGTTCAGGAAGAATCTTGCAAGTGGAAGCTCGTCTAAATCAGCCTCCGACACGAAAGATGTCATCACTCCAGAAAAAAACTGTGATCATAGTAGATCGGTTGAGAATCACCCGAAAACTCTGTTTGTGAAGATCAACATGGATGGGGTCCCAATCGGAAGAAAAGTCGATCTTAAGGCGTACGATAGCTATGACAAGCTCTCGTATGCTGTGGATGAGCTATTCAGAGGCCTTCTTGCAGGTTCGAATGATCACAACATAAAATTTATGCTTTTTGGAGCATGTAGATTGTTGTAATAAAAACATAAGTAGCCGTTACGACACATGATATCTTATAATTGTTTCGCATTTTTTCGTGTACATATGGTGAATCTAAATAAATTAATCCACGCGTTCATAATTTGCTTCGATACATATGTCAACTTGTTAACAATTAAAAATTGACTTATCATTATCTGCTTATATTTATTTCCCCCCAAATTGTGTTTGTAGCTCAAAGTGATTTTTCAGTTGAGGAGGAAAAGAAAGCTGCAGGAGGGCTGCTGAACGGAAATCGAGAATACACGCTCGTTTACGAAGACAATGAAGGTGACAGGATGCTTGTTGGGGATGTCCCGTGGCAGTAAGTCCATATATTCGACGCAATCTTATTTTTATTCTATTTTTTTTCTGTAATTTGCAGAAACTATATATATATGTATACAATCTTGCATCATAAAATAACATAAAAAAAAATCTAATTTTTGCAGCATGTTTGTCTCAACCGTGAAGAGGCTCCGTGTGTTGAAAAGCTCTGAACTACCGGCATTCTCTCGTGAGTTATATTCTATTACTTGCATACACAATTACACTTAATTAATCACAAACACAAAAAAAAAGGGTGAAGTAATGAAATCACTGTTGTTTGCAGGTGGAAGCAAACGGGGGAAGCAGTTAGCGGTTGACGATGCTTCTTCTAAGTAAAAAATGTGTTAGTCATATAATTGTGCATGAGATGGATAAGAATTTTTCTTGTAATGTTGTTCCTTGCTTGTTATGTAGAGGGATTGACAAACTTCGTTTTGTTCTTCACTTTGGACTTTTTATGGGGTGGGTACTTGTTGAAATAGGAACTTGGGAAGTTATTTGCATAGTTGCATGTTCAGATGATCAGCTGCAAAATTTGGGGTTTGTTATTGCATTCATCCTACTGTTTATTTGAATATTATTCATTTGGGAAGTGTTTTAGTTGCGGTGGACCGTAACATTTTTCTATGTGGGGAAGACTACAGTCTCGTTACGGAATTATTTTGTCGGGGTTTGTAATCGTCACATCAATTATATCCGACAGTTACATGATAATTTAACGGTTACAAATCTCGATGGAATGATTTAGTAACGGGACCGTAACATATTTCTATATTTTTTACTTGGAGTAAGATGAAGTTGCAAAATTTGAAATTTAGTGATTTTCCATAATACTTTCAAATCTCAAACGTAAGGAAAAAAAATAGAGAGATGATATATTGCCAATTTAGTATACAACTAGGTTGACAATACAAGTAAAAACATTCATAAAAATAAAATTTAAAAAATATACAAGTGGATGTTTTCCGCTTATGTTGTCAACCTAATTGTATACTAGGTTGGTTATGTATCATTTTTCAAAAAGAATATATCTTGTAGCTGGGAGTCACTACTCTTGAGAATTTGTACAAATACTTATCCCTCACTTTCCCCCGTTTGTTTGGTGGGATAGGCAAGGATATCCTAGCTTATCCCTCACTATTCCATGTTTGTTTGGCTGGATTCAGACATGAGATTATGCGGTCGGCCCGGGATGGAAAAAGGATTTAGGCTATATTTAGTAGGCAAAGAAACTAGCTTATAGCTTATTTAGTTAGCTTATAAGCTTTTTGTATTCAAACAACTCTCGTTTGATAGGACGAGTTTTTTAAAAAAAAAAAGCTTGAGTTTATTTGATAAGCTTCTATAGGTGCTTTTCAAATAAGTTAGTTGAATTTTTTATCTCAACTATCTTATCAACTAATTTTACCAAATACTTTTACCGTATAAGCTATCTTTTCAGCTATAAGTCATAAAGTATAAGCTAAAAAATTATTGATAAACTATAAGCTAGTTTATCAGCTATGAGTTATCTTATCAACTAGTTTTACCAAACACAACATTATCCCATGAAATTGGGATATCTCCATCCTAGGTATTTGGTGGGATAGGCTCAATCCTGGAAAGTAAAATTTTTTATTTGCCCTCATTTTTTTAATGATGTTTTTGTGTTGGTTAATCTCAAAAGGGGTAAAATAGTATTTTATGTTATAAATATATTAATATGGACATTACTAATAAATAATTGGGCCTGAAGTCCATTAGTGAGTAGGATTAGGTTGTAGGGCTTCCCTCTTGTAAACCCTATAAAAGGGTGATTATACTGATGAATAAGAGGAGATACTTTTCTGCTTCTCTTTTATCGTTCTCTTTACTGCACA